GAGCATGTTCTTATTGCCTGAGTTTGAATTTTGAAATTTCAGGTGAAAGATTCAGAGTTTTTTTCTGCCTCCTCCAATCAAGTGTTGAGGTTTTGACTGCATCATCCCTGTTTGCTAATTTTGCTATGATGAGTGCTGTATATGCCTCCTTTGGTGTTGTGAAGTAATTTTTTGGATTTGAGATTGGAATTTTGCAGAACCATGTCACATTTCTATGGTAACCTCAGCGAAACAATTTTGTGACTAGTTAATTAAATACATTTTACTGAGAGCTCACCTAATGTCCGTTACCTTTCAAGTTTCTTTTTTATTGAAGTATGTGCCAGTTTCCATTCATAACAAGTTGCCAGGGCAAGCGTTATATACAACTCGTTTGATAAATTATGGTAAAATGCTAATGCAGGTCTTCATAAGTTACTCCTCATTTTATAGAAACCCAGATGATGCCTTTTTTCTCCTTCTTTTTTTCTTTTATTCCTTTTGGGAGTACATTTTGTATATCTTGCATGTAATCCATATAACCCTTTTTTGGGCATTTTTTGAACCATTTTGTGGGTTTTGGTGTTTATCTTTACAGCCAATGTATTTTATCACACTTGCACTGTATATTATGGTTTGTAGACTGCAAAGGGTATCATGAGTAATTAAGAGTGGGCACTATGTGATCAGTAGGCCTACCTTTTCTTTCTTTAAAAAAAAAATAACAAGCCACTTTTCAAACGAAATTAGGTGTCAGTTTGGTTGAAGTACAATGGCAGTCTTCTTAGTCAGTCTCAGTGACTGAATTTAGGAACCTGACTTTTAAAAATGTAGTGATACATTAATGGTAAATTTCAAGGACATTCCTCTGTGCATACTGACCTAAACTGATTTTGAGATATATCTTGCTACACTCATACGAACGAGAGGACTGGTTTTAACAGTGAATCAACTATTTGAAGCTGCAAGAGGCCCAGAAAAAGGTTGCAGACAAGCCTGGACACTAGACTGTTACGCCTGAACTTGTTTTTTTTTCTTTTTTTTCTAATATCAGGTTTAGTTCTAAATTATAATTTATCGAGCCATTTTATGAAATGTGAAAGTCCAGTGTCACATGTAATGTGGGGATGATGATGTGATATGAAGATATATCAAAGCAGTAATAGAACTATTCTCTAGTCTTTCCCCTTTATTTTGTTTGTTTTGCTTTGTGATTAGTTTTGTGTGAACATTGTATCTGGTAGCTTTAAACTGTTGCAGTCAGTTTGGCCAGTTAAATTACAACCTCACTTTAAACTGCCGCTCAGAAGTAGGTTAATGTTTCTGATCACTTTAACATGATGCTGTATGGCGCATATATGCTCACATTGCTCTTGACTTTTAAAGTGTTAAATGTTTGTTTTGAGTGAAGAGAAAAACTTCAACTATGTAATAATGGTCATGTGGTGAAAGAAAAAAAAATCAAAACTGGAAGAAAAGAAGCAGAAAAGCAATTTTTATATGCAGAAAAGAAAGAAATGTTAGTAAGACAAGCAGGAGGCCATACTGCAATTTTTAGATGGCTACCTCTGATACTTGGAAGGTGAGCTATATTTTATGTCAGTGTGGCAGCTTTATCTACAGCAGATAGAGCCTATCGTGGTACTCAAAGTTCTCAAGTCCTTGACTTACTCCATATGCCTGCCGGGGCGATCAGTTTCTTGGTAGTGAGGAATCTTTTTTCTTCCCTTCCCTCGAAGCCCACGACATGTGAAATGGAAAGGATTATTTGAGAGAAACACCGTTCAATGATTCCCGAGTGCATGTCTGAATAATTAATTAAGGGTTTCGATTTTTGACGAAAAGAAAAAAGAGCCTAAACAACAAAAAAAAAAAAGGGAAAAAAAAGAAAGAAAGGAAGACCAACAACTGACAGTACCCTTAGAGTATAATTGGTAAAGAAATAATAATATAAAAGAAAAGACAACCCAAACCCCAACTTCTTCAGGGTGTTGATCGTCTGTGAATTACAGAAGCAATTGTATTTGTATGGGTTTTAAGACATTTTTAAAATCGCATTTTTTTACTTTTTGACCTTGCAACCCCCTTTTAATGATGCATGAACAGATTTTGTGCATACACAGCGCATAGATTGCTTGCCACTAACCTTTGTATACGACAATTTTCTTTCTTTCTTTTCAGAATTTTGACTAACATCATGTGAGAATGAAATGACAAGATTTAAATCCCCCCACCCCGGCATGGTGTAGTTTTGTGCTCTAGGTTCTCGGCCCGGCCCAGTCCGGTTACCCCAGAGCTCCAGCGATAGTCAAAGCTTCACGGTCACCGACCTATGTACCGGACCCTGGGCGCTCCTCCCAAGCTAAAATTTAGTATGTCACGAGTAGAGAGATAGATTTCTTGAAATAGAAAACGTAACTGTTCATTTATTCGTGTTGGATTATTTCACGGTGGATAGGATATTTATTCTTATAAAGTCCCACTTGGTTTATGGATAAAGAATTTGATGCGAGTGACTACTGATCCAGACAGCGGATGTGATGTTTAGTGCAAAGAGCACAGCATGTGAACGGGGAATAGTTCATATTTGAAAGATAATCTTTTTTTTTTGTTCTCTGGTTTTGATACTTGTTGTGGGTAGATTTTTGTGTGTTCTGGAGATATTTTCAGAGTTTATAATTCATACCATTAAAAGTAATCCTAGTCGTACCTAATCTTTAGCTCAAAAAATGGCGTCCAAAAATTCGTTTGGGTCGTCAGCTGTGTCTGCCTCCTCTTCCTCCTCTTCCTCCTCCTCCTCCTCGTCATCCTCATTAAACACAGTGAGGACTTCCATTCGTACGCCGCTGAAGCCGGCAAGTGTTCAAGATCTTAAAGCCAAATTTGACCCCGGAAAGCTGGGCTCTGAAGGCGGCGGCGTGGCTAACTCCACAACCACCACCACCTCCGCCACTAGCAAACTGACCCGGTCCGGGGAGAGGTCGAGCTTCGGCAAGGGCGGCACGTCGCCGTCGTCGTCGCTGTCCTCGTTATCCACGTCAGGCTCGCGGTCGTCCTCTTCAGCGGTGTCCCTCTCGTCTGTCAGCTCTTCTCTCCACGCTGCTGCTCAGAGGAAACTTGGAGCCCCTACCTCCTCCTCCTCCTCCTCTTCTTCTTTGCCTGCTACGGGTCTGAATAGATCTGCTCCCAAATCCACCGTGAGTTTGACGTCCCCAAGGCCTTTCTCGCCCCCGTCTTCCAAAAGTAGCAGCGCCCTGTCCTCACGCCCTGGTGGCCAGAGCGGCAATAGCCCCGTGCTGGGCAATTCCTCCAGGTTATCTTCCTCTGACGGACTCTCTTCCTCCTCCTCCTTGTCGTCCACTACGTCAGCGACGAGAAGCGGCGGGAAGTGGGAGCCCCGTTCTGTGAGCAAAAGCTCGTGGTCGAATACGTGCAGCAGTGGCAGCAGCACCCCGCGCGGGGCCGGGGGAGCAGGGGACGGGGCGGACTCGAGTACCGGGACCGTGTTTGAAAGGGACAAGGATGGCCGTGTGGAGCTCCCCGTCATGCACATCAACACCTCCGGGTCGGAGGTCAAGGTCGAGGTTCAGAAACAGTCGAGCGTGGACGGCGGTGGTTCGAGACTGCGGGCGAGCGGCGGCGCGGACAGGACGGGCTCCAGATATCTGGGGAAGAAAGTCTCGGAGACGAAAACCGCCTTCAGCGCGGGCGGAGGGGGAGGGGTGTCCAATATCAGGAACGAGAAACCCGCGGCTGTGTCGAAACAGGACAGCCCTCCCGTGCAGAGAACGAGCAAACTAGTGGCCAGGGAAATCAAAATCGAGAGGCTGGACACGGGGGAGAATGTGACGTCCTACAAAGACAGCAAGACTTCCGAGTTCAAGACGAAGAACGCCGCATCGCCCAAGCCGAGGAGGTCGGCCGGGAAAACCGATTCCGGGAAAAGCGATTCCGGTGCTAAGGTAAACGTGGGGAACAAAGTCCAGGAAATCAAAGTTCAGAGGGTTTCTAGTGCTGAGGCCTCCAAGCCGGACAGACCTCCCCCAGAGTTTAGTCAAATCAAACTACGCGCAACAAAACCGCCCGCTCAGCTCCAGCAGGACGAGTCTATCGGAAAGGGCCAGTCGGGCGGCGGGTCGTCGGAACTGCTGAGGACGAAGAGCTCTGACCTGGACAAGCGCCTGTCACGAAAGATCAGCCCTGAGAGGTTTGAACGCCTCAAGTTTGACTTTGAGCGCGGGGTCCCTACCGAGACGGTGGCCCGCCGCGGCTCGGAGACAACGGACCACATCGCGCTGCAGCAGAAGGCGCGGGAACAGGCGAAGGGCGTGAAGGAGGACGACACGCCAATCATCGCTAAGAAGAAGAAGGAAGAGTCCATTCTGACCGAGGGGTTGAAGGTGTCAGATTTCGTGAAGCAGGTCAACAAGATGAACCCGGAAGCGGAAGGGCCTCCCAAGTGGAAGGCGCATGCGCAGCAGCAGCGTCAGAAGAGCCAGACGAGCTCGGCGGCCTCCAGTGACGTAGGAGGGGACAGTTACTACCAGGGGATACCGGGAGAGGAGGAGATGGGCAATTACAGCGGCGCCGCCGACGACGATGACGACGACGACGACATCTACGAGAAGGTGGCGCACCACCTACAGCGCGGTAAGTCCTCACCAACCACTTTGGCTAACATAGTCGTAGAGAGAAAAATATGCGTGAAAAAGCTTATCCTGTCAAAGGCTGTAAGGCCAACATTAAAAAACTGAAAACAAACATCAAGAACAACAACTACAATAAGAAAAACAAACAATAACGACAACACCAGGTCAAACAAAACAACGAACAAATTATCAAACAGTTCTGTTCTCCCCACGCTTGTTTTGCTACTTCTGAAAGCGGTCAAGTTTGAATAATATTTAAGGCCAAAAAAGATGTCCTCATTGTTATCATCTCGGGGAGTGGGGGGAGGGGGACGAGAGCTTTAGATACACTGTTCGGAGTTGAGAACGGCCTATTGTATGTGTGATCTAGCCGAAAAATCCCTCCAACTTCAGGCCTGCACTAACTTGTTCGTCTCGTGTTGCGACAAGGGGAAAACAGAGATTTGTAATTAGCCACCACCAACAGTGTCCCCTGAGCCCGGTCTGTCTCGGAGGCTGGGAAGGAAGTGTTGAACCTATTGAAATACTATTAGTATTTTCTCTCACCGGCGTCTGCAGTGTGGCGGTTAGGATCTTCCCCATTGCATGGAAAGGTGTTTTACTATTATTACTTTTTTAAAAATCGAGTATCTCCGTTTATCTGTAAGGATGTTGTATCCCACTCAAACCGGTTTTGGTCCTACCAAGCAAGGTCGAATCGAAGCAGGCTTTCGCCCTCCCCCTCCCTAAAAAAGGATCTAAATTGTGTCAATATGGGTTCGTGAAAAGTTTTTAGTAGTTTCAGCTCCGGTCTCCCAACAGTCGACGAAGCCCCCGCTTTGGGAACCACATTCTGTCGTTGCCTGAGCATGTCATGGAAAGAAATAAATAAAAAGAAAAAGAGACAGCTGAAAGCAACAGAAGCCACAGACGCTACTTTTTAAACTCTTTCAAAGCCGCAATGAGTCGCTTTAGCAAAATCCGAATAATATGTTAGTGCACCTCTTCGGTAAATAATATGTTATGAACCGATTCGGCAAATGGGTTAAAACCACTTTGACAAGGGTTAGCATCTCTTCAACGAATAGGTGCACTCACTTCGGCAAACGGGTCAGGAAAGAGAGGTAAAAGTCTGAATTCGGATAATGTACCTATTGAGGTTTATCCGATTTTCCGGATATTTATCCGGATTTTGCCCACCTCTACTTGCCGCACACTTCTCCGTCTGTCTATATTTATATGTTACTTATACTTATAGGCGATAAAATAATCGCGAGTGAAAAGAGTTAATTAAAACTCTTAATCTGTTTCCGCCGTGTTGTCGGCGGTCAGTTTGTAAGCAACTGAGCCAATTCTTGCGTCCATGTTCCAAACGAAACAGCGCTTTCTTAATTAAAAGTATTCAACATCCATTTGCTCTAATGGATCCTTGTTGACGTTCCAAAAGGAACAGCGGGCTTAAAAAAAACCCCAAACAAAAACCCAAAACAAAAAAGCTACCTTTGTTATTGTATTAACGCTAACTGCTTGAGCATTTTCTTGTACAAGATAGACGTGCTGGCATGAAGATAACATGAGAATGTTAACATGATAATTGTGAAAAAAAAAAGAACTCATCCTACGTTCTTTTGGTACAAAGTATACTTATAAAGAGAATCATAGATTCTGCAGCGTAGACTTGTACTACTACTAATACTATTGATACCTTATAGACTGCAGACCCATGTCGCCTTTTTTGTTGTGTTTGTTTGTTTGTTTGAATATTCTTGGTTTGAAAATCGAACAAACAGTATACATATATTTTTTTCATCCAATAATCCCTGCTTGCAAATACTGACACTTTTACTTTATAATAGAATATAATAGAATTTGTATAACCTACCTTCTAAAAAAAAAAACGTATTCATTTAGTTGCCTTAAGGCAATTGCTACTACTATTACTATGCCTCTTGGGACTTTTTAAAGACCGGTTTTTAAAAAAAACCCTGTAGTCTTGGTTTTTCTTTCACCTTTTTTTGGTTGCCCTTTTTGTTCAAGCAATTTGCTTTTATAGTATTCCTCCTTCAGGTGATGGTTTTTTCATATTTTGATGTTCTTCAGTTCTTCAGTCCTGTTTTATCTACCCCCCCCCCGCCCCCATTTTCACGTCACGGGAACGCTTGCGTTTTTCTAATCCTTCTTGCTCGGGGATGTTTGTGAATGCGGTCATGGACTCTTGCACCATTCCATCAGCGTTGTGGTTTTGAGAAAACTCTTAAACCCCCCCCCCCCCAAACAAACCAAACCAAAACCAAACAGAAAACATTGCTTACCTAAGTAAATTTTATGACCTATGCAAAAGCGACATTGTCTCAATAATAATTTTTTAGTACACGTAACCATACCATGCTATACTATATTGAGGATACGGAACAAGTAACTGGGTTTATGTGAGAGGGTTTTTTTTTCTTTTATTTTCCGTGAAGGCTCTCCACCTCTGCCATTCGGTTTTAATAGAGATTGACGTTAAGTTCAGAGGTTCCGGTTCTTAAATAAACTTACAGTATTGAAAGGGACATAAAACCCATACCATGCTGAGAAGAGGCGGGTTGAAATAAAGTATACCCCCCCCCCCTTTTCATGATGGCTCATGGACGATTACAGCCCGCTATTTCAAATTTATGGGTGGTCGGCGGACGTTCTGGTATGGTTTGTTCCTTCTTTCCTGTCAAACATCTATCGCCATTAAACTTATCTGTCTTCCTCCTTTTCTTTGTGTGTTACTCTCAAGCGACACCTCTGACCTTCAGCACTTATGTATGTCATTATAATAATGATATGACCTAATTGTATTTCAAGTGCAGCAAAACTCGTACTTAAACTAAAACTACCACCCC